AAAAAGCAAAAAAAGATAGTAGAATGACCAGTCTCACCAAATATGAAGTACATTTTTTTTTTACTTGTCCACTATCTATTACTACTCATGACATGGAAGTGGACTGCATGTCTGTAAGAACAAATACATAAATACATTTTAAAAGGGTAAAAACCATAAAGAAGTGTTAAAAAAAGTAATACCGCAGACTTATTAATGCTTTTCTATGGATATGTAAATGGTATGGAACATGTGTTGGATTTTGGAAACCTATATTTAAATGTTTTTACATTTGTGATCAAATAACCTTCTCTGTTAAATCTTTCAACTGCAAAAAAAGTCTATACAAACATATTTGAACAAAGATGATGCATTCGTAAAGCTTAAACATTTTGGTAATTGTTTTAGCAGAGGTTGACTATATGTACACTTATCAGCCACATTTAAAACCACTGACAGGAATAATATTGATTATATCATTACAATGGAATCTGTCAAGGGGTGGGATATATTAAGCTGCAGGTGAACAGTCAGTTTTTGAATTTTATGTGTTGGAAGCAGGAAAAATGGACAAGCAAAAAGATCTTAGTGACTTTGACACATCATATAGATGACTGGTTCAAAGCATCTCCAAAATCGCAAGTCTTGTGTTCCCAGTATGCAGGGGTTATCAGCTACCAAAAGTAGTGCAAGGAAGAACAATTGGTGAACTGACATCAGGGTCATGGATGCCCAAGACTCATGCTTGTGGGGAGCAAAGGCTAGCTCAAATTGCTGAAAAACTTAATGCTGCCCATGGAAAGGTGTCAGAAACCACAGTGCATTGCAGCCCATGATCCTCTGTCCACCATCAAAAGTACCTCCAATGGGGATATGAGCATCAGAACTTGCCATGGAGCAACCAGAGATCATTTCGTGGTCTGTAGAATCACACTTTCTTTAAGATCAGATGGATGGCAGGTGCATGTGCATCATTTATTGGGTAAAAGATGGCAACAGGATGGACTATGGGAAGAATGTGTACCGGCGGAGGTAGTGTTTTGCTCTAGGCCAGAAGTAGGCCACCTTTGGCACTCCAGATGTTATGGACTATATCTCCCCCGATGCTTTGCCAGCATTATGGCCTTTGGAGCATTGCGTGAGATGTAGGCCACAAAATCTGGAGTGTCAAAGGTTGCTTACCCATGCTCTAGGCAGCGTTTTATTGCAAAACCTTGGATCCTGGCATTCATCTGGATGTTACTTTGACACGTACCACCTGCCTAGAGATTGTTGCAAACCCCGTACATCCTTTTTGGCAATAGTGTACCCTCATGGAATGGCCCCATTTAGCAGGATAATGCACTTCGCCACAATGCAAAAATTGTTCAGGAATGTTTTGAGGAACAAGACAAAGAGTTCAAGATGTTGCCTTGGCCTCCAAATTCATCAGAACTGAATCTGATTGATCATCTGTTTGATGTGCTGGAACAACAAATCTAATCCATGGCGGCCCCACTTCGTAACTTGCAGGACCTAACTGATCTGTTGCTAATGCCTTGGTGCCAGATGCCACAGGGTATGTTCAGAGGTTTGTGGAGTCCATACTTCAATGCATCAGAGCTGTTTTGGCAGCACGAGGAGGACCTATATGATATTAGGTGCTTTTAATGTTGTAACTGAGCAGTGCATATATATCTCTGTTATTTGTCTGTTTCTCTTAGTAATTTTAAGTTCTTCTATTACTTTGATTCAGATAAAATTTTAGTTGAAATTAATCTTGGGTGACTTTTAAGAAGCAACAAGCAACAGTAGTACAAGCTTACAGAGAATGTTAAGAAAACCAGAAAGCATCCAGTGAGCAGGGCCGGACTGGCCCACCACGATACCGGGAAATTTCCCGGTGGGCCGTCGACACCTGGGGCCGGGGAGACATTTGGGTGACCTGCGGCCGCAGGGAGAACTTGAATGGCGGCCGCAGGGAGAACTTGGATGGCTGTTCTGTCTCTGCTCCCCCGCCCTCTCGCGCAGCTTAATGAAACCGGGGCTGGAATATTACTTCATATTCCGGCCCCGGTCTCATTAAGCTGCGCGCTGGGGAGCAGAGACAGAACACACAGCTTCCCCTGCGGCCGCCATCCAAGTTCTCCCTGCGGCCGCCAGCACACCTATCTGTCTGCCCACCCACAGGTAGTGTCTGTGTCATGCTGTGTGTGTCTGTCTGTGTCATACTGTGTGTATTTCTGTCTGCCATGGTGTGTGTGTGTGTCTGTCTGTGTCATACTGTGTGTGTGTGTGTGTCTGTCTGTCTGTCATGGTGTGTGTTTGTGTCTGTCTGTGTCATGCTGTGTGTGTGTGTCTGTCTGTCATGGTGTGTGTGACTGTCTGTGTCATGGTGTGTGTGTCTGTATCATGCTGTGTGTGTGTCTGTCTGTCATGTTGTGTGTGTGTGTCTGTCTGTTTCATGGTGTGTGTGTGTCTGTCTGTGTCATGCTGTGTGTGTGTGTCTGTCTGTGTCATGGTGTGTGTGTGTGTGTGTGTGTGTCTGTCTGTGTCGTGGTGTGTGTCTGTATCATGGTGTGTGTGTGTGTCTGTCTGTGTCCTGGTGTGTGTGTGTCATGGTGTGTTTGTCATGGTGTGTGTGTGTCTGTCTGTGTCATGTGTGTCTGTGTCATGGTGTGTGTGTGTGTGTCTGTGTCACGGTGTGTCTGTATCATGGTATGTGTCTGTCTGTCTGTCTTTGTCATGGTGGGTGTGTGTATGTGTGTGTCTGTCATGGTGTGTGTCTGTCTGTGTCATGGTGTGTCTGTCATGGTATATATGTGTGTCAATGTGTGTGTATGTTTGTCATGGTGTGTGTGTCTGTCATGGTGTGTGTGTGTGTCTGTCATGGTATATGTATGTGTCATGGGGTGTGTGTGTGTGTGTGTGTCGTGGTGTCTGTGTGTGTTTTTAAAAATAGTCTTTTACTCACTTTTTTTCCCAATGTCGTGCTGGTCACCCCTCGACTGGCCCTGCCTCTATGACTGAGATCATCAAGCTTGATGATCTCAGCCAATCCGCACTGACACAGGAAGTGCCTCTAGTGACCGTCTGAGTGTCTGTCACTAGAGGTGTCACTAAGAAGCAATGTAAACACTGCCTTTTCTCTGAAAAGTAAGTGTTTACATTCAAAAGTCTGCAGGGACAGGCTATAGACACCAGAACCACTACATTAAGCTGTGTGTGTGCGCCTGCTAGTGAGTGAGCTTGCTTGCATGTGTGTGTGTGCCTGCTAGTGAGTGAGCTTGTGTTTTTATGTGAATGAGCTTATGTATATCGGTGAGATTGTTTGTCTATGAGGCTGTGTATCAATGAGCTTGTGTGTGTCAGTGAGATTGTCTGTGTCTGCATGTGAGTATGCTTACTGTATAATTAAATGTTTTACTCTGAAAGCACCAATATTTTATATTAGAAAAAGCAATATATTTTTTATATATATATATATATATATATATATATTACTCAATCATCTGGGGTGGCGAGACATAGCCTTACATATTACATGCGACAATATATGGCGCAGTGACTTATGGGGCTGGCATAGATTTTTTTTCCAGGTCTGCTTTGTATCCCCAGTCCGACCCTGCCAGTGAGTCACAATTCAGTAAGTGAAATGCCTTTTTAATTGGAGAAAATATCCAAACGTGTTCAGGTTCAGAGGAGGGCAACTGTAACCAGAAAAAAACAACCTTGAAGTGGGCAGGTTACAGAGCAGAAGTGCATAAGAATACACCGGATTCTACTTCTGTCAGCTAAGAATGAGAAACTGAGACTTATGTGTGCACAGCCACACCATCTCTATTTCTTCTGTATCATGTAGATTGTAGAGTCATAATTGACATAAAAACTGGACTCCAGCCAATGATACAGGCTGGCTGTGATGGTGTTTGTAATATTTTGTTGACTTCTTAATACTAATTGAGCATTGTTTCATTAACACTGCTTACCAAGTAGTGTTGCTGAACACGTGCATCCCTTTCCCCTCCACAGTTTTCTCATCATTTGAAGGCTACATCCAGTGGGATAAAGTGTCAAGTCACAAAGCACATCTTCTCAAGCCGGTTACACAAATAAGATAATGAGCTTAATGTAACTCAATGGCTTCCACGGTCACCATGTCTCAAGCTAACAGAACATCTTTGGGAGGCAGTGGAATTGGCAGTCCATAGCACAGATATGCAGTTGACAAATCGGAAGCAACTTTGTGATGCTATCATGTCAATATGGAGCACACAGATGTTTCCACCATGTTTTTTTGTTATAATTTGTATTATTTCTGTGTAAGTCTTTATCTTTTCATTGTTTTATACTTTATATTGTTTTGCATATGTTGCAAAAAAGGTTAAGCATCACATCTATAAAGGTAAGAAAAATGCACAAAATAAATCATGTAAACAAATAGTGACTCAGTGCATAAAGGAGCACGTTGCAGAGCACTAATATCCAATAAGGAACACAATATCATGTAATGATACGACAATGACAGGTGTAATGATTTGTGTATAAGATGCAAAACAAACCTACATGTGCCACATTGTACAGACAGTGTTAGATAGCCTTCTACATGTGTCACATTGGTATTCAACTAAAATAAAGTTATTACCTTGCTCCAATATGAATAAATGACTGCAATTATCTTATATGACCACAAAGAGTGCAAGAGGATAAAATAAGCTGTTTAAGCTAAAAAAAATTTAAAAAAAAAAACTGGACTCAAAACAACAGCACATGGAGAGACAAAATAGTATAAGAACAGCCAGGTGCAAACCATATAAACACTCCCTCAAGTGCTTTAAATATTCAAATGTATATAGAATATAGAATGCACACTATAACAATCTCAAAAAAAACCTTTGCTTTATTATGTACAAAAAAGTACCAGAGTGAAAACATATAAGAAAAGATAAACAAAGTGACAGAAGCAAGGGCAAACACAATAAAACAATAATAAATTACCACAAAAATTCTTACAAGCCTCCAGACAGAAACACGAGTCACCAAACCCCCCAACGTTTCGGCACCAACTGGCTGCCTTTATGGTACCCTTGATAAAGGCAGCCAGTTGGTGCCGAAACGTTGGGGGTTTGGTGACTCGTGTTTCTGTCTTGAGGCTTGTAAGAATTTTTGTGGTAATTTATTATTGTTTTATTGTGTTTGCCCTTGCTTCTGTCACTTTGTTTATCTTTTCTTATATGTTTTCACTCTGGTACTTTTTTTTTTTTTTTAATTCTTTATTTTTCTTGTGCAAGGATTAACAACAAGCGTGCAGGGCCACAACAGCCTCCACAGGCATTTTCATAACTTTACAAAGTGTGTCAGTTTAGACAGCACATTTTTTGTATAACACGAAGATAACAGGCTATTAGACATCAGTATTTTATAAAATAACATGTTAGGCTAGATAGACATGTGACAAAGCTAGTTGCTCTTAAGATTGTGAGTGTGTAACGGTGCATTGGTAATAATGGGAGCATTTTGCTTAAGGCACTGGCTGCACGTTTTTAAATGTAAAATTAAACCAACAGTTTCACTTCTAGTTTTAAACAAGCTTGGGTTGCCAGGTAGGACTAGTAAGTAAAATAATGTGTGAGCAGTTAAGGTAAACACATATGAGAGACAACGGCAAAAACTCTGCAAGGGATGGATTACTGATAGAATAAAGACGTTTACTTTACGTTTGGCTAGTATGCAGAGAGCAGTTCTTGTGTTAAGGGACATGGTGTGAAAGTCCAGCTATAACAAGATATGCCTGGCAGGCTCCAGTCTCCAGCCTGTGATCATCCGATCCCTTCTGGGCGCCAAGCGCAGTTCCCGAGAGCCCCTGTCGCCTGGAGTGTCAAAGGCATATATGTGGCTAAGTGCCAGGCATCCGGCCTGTAGTGGCGGAGGTTTGCTTTGTCAGGTAGTGGGCGCTGTCCTGATGGGCAGGGTGCCTCTGGTCCTGTGCGGCGTCGTGGTGGCTTGAGGTGAGTGTGGGTGCTGGATATAGGACAGGCTTTTCGTTTCTGTCTGTGCTGCCGGTCCCGTTGTCGGCGCCTTTTTGGGGCGCTGTTAGCGGTTATCATTCTGAATCCGCCCTTGGAGCATGAGAGGGTCGGGGGTGTGAGTGCAGGAGTGGTCCGCTTAGCTGGTGTTTTGTTCAGCATCCTCTCCGACATCCTGGCCCAAAAGGCAGCAAAAATGTCATCAAGCTTTGTCAGAGAGTTATTCGCCGGCTCCCCACCTGCCCCCATGCTTGCCGACTGACGCGTGGCAACCGCCATTTTGGAGTTGGTGACTCCTGGTGCTAGCAGCCTCTGGGACATGAGTGTCTGCGGTAAATAGGCTGTTGGTGCCGGGATATCCCTCACCGGCAGGGGCGGGGGGAGGGAGGCTCGTGGGTGGTCCTCCGCAGCTTTGGCCTCTGCTTTTGGGGAGCTCCAGTCCGGGTGATCGGCCGCTTCACCCGTGCCCGAAACCCCCGCCTAGGCCGCAAATCAGGCAGGTTGTCGTTGCAGTAGGCCCTATTGGTGCAGCCCGCATTCCCGGTGGCTCAGCATTGTGAGAGTAGTCTTGTTGTGGTCTCCCTTGTATCCCCTACTCAGGTGGTGCAATTCTGGGTGATTTTGTAGCTTGGGAGCCGGGTTTATTTTGCTTAAAGTAAGAATTCAGACGGGAGCTCATGCTGCACACGTCTGATCAGCTCCACAGCCAGGCTCCGCCCCCCACTCTGGTACTTTTTTGTACATAATAAAGCAAAGGTTTTTTTTGAGATTGTTATAGTGTGCATTCTATATTCTATATACATTTAAAAAAAACTGGAAACACATAGGGTTATTCACAAAAGTGAGATTTCCCAGTGAATTTTAAATTACACACATATATACCATGACAGACACACCATGACACAGACAGACACACACCATGACAGACACACACATACACACACCCACCATTTAAATTAAATAAAAAATGTAAGGCATTATATAAAACATAAAAACATGACAGACACACCATGACACAGACAGACACACACCATGACAGACACACACATACACACACCCACCATTTAAATTAAATTAAAAAATGTAAGGCATTATATAAAACATAAAACTGAAAGCATACATAGCTTAGATATTTTTTTCAGGCTATATGTTTTGGCTATATTAACCTTAAATTTGAAAATTTGAAATTCACTTTGAATTCACTGTGAATTCTCACTATAGTTAATGATCCTAATCATGTGATAATAATAATAATAATGTGATAATGCCAACAGATTCTGTAGAGCTTTAGAATATTATGAGAGGGGGATTTAACTATAAATAGGACAATTACAAGAAAATTTACAGGAACAATAGGTTGAAAAGGATCCTGTTCGAACGAGCTTACAGTCTATAGAAGGTGGGGTATAAAACACATTAGGACAGGAAATAGCAATCAAATTAGGTGGGTGTGAAGCAGTTCTGGAGGAGAGAGTAAAGTGATGCCCTTTAGGAGAGAGCAAGAGACATGTATGTGAGGTAGAGGTCACTCTGGGAGGTCATAAGCTTTCCTAAAGCCTGGGTTTTAAGGCACTTCTTAAATGATTGAAGACAAGGGGAGAGTCTGATGGTGGTAGGCAGGCTATTCCATAGAAAGGGAGCCCCCCATGGGAGTTGGCCATACGGGTGCGAACAGCGGACAGGAGAACATTATGGGCAAAGCGGAGAGACCGAGAAGTGGTATACCTATGGATATATGAGGGACTAGAATTGTTCACTGCTTTATAGGTATGAGTTAACACTTTAAATTGACTCCTATACCATACAGGAAGCCAATGTAAAGACTGACAGAGGGGTGAGGTCTGAGAGGACAGACTAGAGAGGAAAATCAGTCTGGCGGCAGCTTTCATTAGAGACTGTAGTGGGGTAATACGGCTTTTGGGAAGACGAATTAGGAGAGGGCTACAATAATTAATGCGGGAAATTACTATAGCATGGACAAGCTCCCTGGTAGCATGGTAGCAAGGCAGGAATGATTGCCGTTTCAATCTCCTTAGAGAAAATTGAGAGATTCCGTATTGCTTGGACTTGGGTCTGTGAAATGAGGCTTAAGGATCAAGGATAGAGATGAGACACAGTTATATGAAGGTAAGTACAGCCAGGAGAGGAAAACATATATATTTTTTAATGCTTTTTAATGTTTTTATTCATTTTTAAATTTAATTTACTAGAAACTATAAAACCTACCTGTAATCCAACCCTGGGACAATCTCCTTGCCTCCATATTTGATAGTCATCAGTTCTCATGACATTTATAAAATCCAATGCATCTCACAGGGTTATAAATTAAGCAAACTAAACAAAATCTGGTGAAAATAACTTGTTTTTGGAATGTCCTCCTTTATTGTTTTATTAGCCAGCTGCTGATAGGTGGAGGCTGTGAAGGACTTTAGCAAGTCCCTTCATTTTTTATATAGACTAGAGTCTCCATCCACTAACCATTGAATATTAAGCCTCCATCTGATACTGAATGTCAGCCCTGCAATCTTTGCAAGACGGAATCCAGGAAGTCCCCATAGTAAATTCGGACAAATTTCGTCACTTCGGACATTCGGATGCTACCAAATGTTCGAATGTTCGAATTTCCAAAATGCCGAATTTTGGAAGTAAAAGAGTTAGGGGTTAGGGGGTAGGGGTAGGGTTAAGGAGCCCTACATATGTGTAAGTGGTTGTGGTGGCAAGAGAGGGATGCTTACGAATGTCTGAATTGACAAAGTCCCGAATTGTTTAAAAAACCCGAATTACTGAAGTTCTGAATTTCGGAAGTGCCAAACCAAACCGAAGTGCTGAAGTGCCGAATTGCCGAAGCCCTGGATTGCCAAAGTCCCGAATTTCGGAAGTGTCGAACCAATTTTTCCCCATGCACGTCCCTAGTCTCTATGGTATTTGATGATTCTGTGCAAGAAGTGAGGCTGAGCAGACCATAGAGATTACCTGTTTTCAAACACTCTCTGACCAAAGGTGGCATTTATATGACTGGGATGAGTTGTTCTCGTTTTTTACATATACTTTATTTTTAAAAATGTATTTTAAAAAATACTTCCTTTCAATCCTTGATGAAAGGTGACATGAAGTCAGAACATGGGCACTTAATCGCTAAGATGCCTGATGACTCCACAGAAAGCTCTGCTCCCAAATGAATCCCTGACAGGAAAGTCCCACCTCAAATAGGGAACCCAAAAGGCCTCTGGCAACAACAAATGGATACTCATCTCCTTAAGTAGTACCTGGTCACTCTGGCCGATCCAGTCTAGCAGATGTCGGAGAACTCATAGGCCTTCGACCTGTCATACCCATCCTCCCTACGATCAGACAGGGACAGTTCTGAGACCTTAAGCCTGGCACCCAATACACAGGCTCAATAACTTGAAGGCAGCCAATGCAAAGCTCCACAAAACGATCACGTTGCACATTAACAATGCAGAGATACAAGGTCTCAACTCCAGATTAGCACAGTTGGAAGCTTAAAGAGGACAAACTACATCAAGCTCGCAATGCTCCACAGGTTCTGTACTGTGAAAACCCTCTTTAATTATATTCAGACCTATCCTCAGCCACACTGACCTACAGGAGGACAGACCGCATACTGCAGACCCAGAAATACTGGTACAGGTGGCATTTTCTATCTGAACTTAGGGTCCTAACTCTTAAAGGACCCATATACACCTTAACCCACAAACACCAACTGCCACCAGTGCCTCTACAATGGCTAAATCCATTGGCCTTTTAGTCCATGGGACCCAGGGCAACCTCCACTGCTCCCCTATGTAAGCAGACAGGAGAACCGGTGCCTCGAAATAGGAGACTGAAAAAACACTTCACAAGAAAACCTGTATAGTTGTATCCTCTTTAACAAGTGGTTGGCTCCATATGTTTTATTTGTTGTTACACACTTGTGTCTAGTTTTGTTTTGGTATAATTTAAGCACAGGTAAAGCTAATAATCCCGGGAGAGGGATACAACAATGTTTATTTAGAAAGGTACAGACATGCAATTAGAGGTGTAAACTCACAGAATGATTGATATGACAACTACTACAAAATTTCTGAGGCACCCTGAATGAGAGCCAACTTCTACAGGAGTACTACTAACACGCAAGTTAATTATAAAAAAATTAAATAAATAAAACTTCTCGATGAAAAGATTATTACCGTATAAACTCGAGTATAAGCCGAGTTTTTCAGCACATTTTTTGTGCTGGAAACCCCCCACTCGTCTTATACTCGAGTCAATGTCTGTATTATGGCAACTTACATTGCCATAATACAGACCAGGACCTCCGGGCTTGTAATGAGGGGGTGGCAGAGAGCTGTAACTTACCTTTCCTGCAGCTCCTGTCAGCTCCCTTCTCTCTCCTCCGGTCCGGTCAGCTCCCCTGTCAGCTCCACTGTAAGTCTCGCGAGGGAGTGGGAGCTGACAAGGGAGCTGACCGGACAGGAGGAGAGAGAAGGGAGCTGACAGGAGCTGCAGGAAAGGTAAGTTACAGCTCGCTGCCAGCCCTCCTCCAGCCCCCCTCCTACACAGGCCATCCATTGGACCACCATGGCCAGCTAACAAGCAGGGAGGGGGGCCGAAAAAAAAAAAATACAAATTTAAATAATAATAAAATAAAAATTAAATATTAATAATATTAAAAAAATAATAATAATATAAAAATAAAATATTAATAACATAACAAAAAAATAATAATATTCAAATAATAATAATAATAATAAAATAAAAAATGGCCACCCCCCACCAAGGCTCTGCATCACACACACACACACACTGCATTCATACACACACACTGCACTCATACACACACACACTGCACTCATACACACACACACACTGCATTCATACACACACACTGCATTCATTATATACACACACTGTAAATAAATATTCAATTAATATAATTTTGGGGGGATATAAATTTATTTAGAAATGTACCAGTAGCTGCTGCATTTCCCACCCTAGTCTTATACTTGAGTCAATAAGTTTTCCCAGTTTTGGGGGGTAAAATTAGGGGTATTGACTTATATTCGGGTCGACTTATACTCGAGTATATACGGTACATAAAATTTAATTTTTTTAGGTAAAAGTTGTCCTTCAAATTCTAAATTGTACGAACTACTTTAAAATATGTTGCACACAATATAAACACAGAGGGTTTTTATACTCTACTGATTAATGTAACAGTTTTTTCTAAAGCTAATTGGTAGTGACAGAGTGTTTATTGTGTTATTGAATGTTTCTATGTATTCAATGACAGCAAGCAGGAAATAAATTATAACACTGATTGGTGGATCAATCAACTCAGTGTAGCCACATATAATATATAAAATGTTATTTAAATAATTTGCTTCTCCAGATAATATTATAGTAATAGGGTATATTCCATACACTTCATTTTTTTAAACTTAAGGGTTTTTTATTGTTGGTTAATTTTATTTATTTACATTTACCTCCTATTTGTCTTCATTCACCCACAGTGTACAGTATTAAAGGACATGTCATCAAATTTTCACATCCTATTTTTAAAAAGATTATTGCATTAAATGAAACTTTTTTTTTGTTTTTTTTAAATGATGCATCTTACTTTTTTTTATTTGTTGGGTCAGATTCTATGAAAATGTGGAACCTTTATTTCCTGTTTGATCTGAGTGAGATCTGACACCCTGCCAGTCCAAACAAGTTATACCTTTTCAGAAGTGAAGGGAACAGAGGGAGCCAATTGCTGATCATCTCTGACAGTGAAACTGCTCAAATTACCCAGATAATAAGTGTTTATAGTTTACAGTTCTCTATTCTGTTCACATAACTTTACACAGCAACTTGTGATTGTTCATTGTCGTCAATCTTTATTTTTGTTGTGATGTGGGCAATGTGATGAGGGCGATCCTCGGGCGGCTCTCAGCTCAGGTAAGTAAGGATGGGGCTTCATACTCTGCATCCTGCTTATTTTGCTCTCAGACAGCTTTACCGCCTCTGGGCACACGTTTCTCCGATTTGTTTGCTGCAGCCTATCTTGTAGCCTCAGCCAGAAATGGTGGAAAGTCTTGTTGAGCCGCATTATGAATAGCGTTACAGAGTCATGGTAGGTCTTCTGTATCTGGCTCACACCTTGTGGGTCGGAGTGGCATGTTGTCGCCATCTTAGGATTCCAAAGAGCAGGTCGGTATTGACTCTTATGCTGTGGCAAAGGCAGGTTCAACTGTGGGTTACAGTCTGGAGGGGACCTGGATATCCCCCACCGGACCAAAGGGGGGGGTGTTGGAGTACTCCAGGATCCCACTGCGAGTTATAGAGCGAGGAGTTTGGCCGTCTCTCCCGCTCCGCTCCCAGTAGGCCGCAATAGTTTCGTCCGGGCATTCAGCTACAGAAATTATCAGGAAAAGTATCAATCCGCTTGCCCAGGGGCCCCTGACCCAAATAATGCTTGTTGGCCAACCTTTGAGTGCAGTAGCTTGGATTTATGCCCCACAATCTGCCAAAGTCAGAGGAGCTCAAACTCTGCACATCTGTCCAGCTTGAAGGTCAGGCTCCGCCCCCACAGAATAGTTTTTAACTGTACAGCCAATCACAGACCAGTGTAGAAGTTGCTGCAGTAATTGTTTTCATTGCTACAGTATGCGTACTCACGTGGTAGCCCCAGAATGCAAATCACCATAGTGACTTTCTGCAATTTAATGTTGCACTGCAAACGTTCGATTGTGTGCCAGAAATGATCCATCAGGGGGTAAGGAGGAATGCTTGCAGATCATGAATTACATGATGAATGTATGGAATGTGCTTTATCAACAAAATAAGGCAACAAGTAATCGCTTTTACTCCTAACTGCATGAATTATATCTGGTTACCTTGGTAAACTGTAGCTTTATAAATCTATTAAATCTATTATATCACTGAATATCACTGAAATACATATGAGCACAATGAATTAATTTAAACCATTCCAATCAGTTAATGAAATGTTTCAAACCGGTCGTAATACATTTCATCTTCACTATATATTATTTGCATGTAAGTGACGGTCTACTTACTGTTTCGATAAGATACTGCCAAAGGCAGCACAGCACTTCAACTTTACTATATGTCTTTAGGGCCAATGACAGCATTTAATAAGGACTGTGGCAGGAAAGACGTGTCCAATAACAAGTGGGACGGAGTAAAAAGGCAATCGGCCTCCAAAAATGAAATAAAATTATGTATAGAAATCCTTACTCCTTCATCCCGCTGCTCGGTGCATCTATCTTAGGTCCTTGTCAATCATTGTTTATTCAGTCAGCGTAGATGATATATACAGAAAGAAATGTTTTACCTTTGTTTTTTTCTCTGCCTTATCTGAAATGCATTCTGATCTAATTTACTAACTAGAAGCAAGATTAAAACAAGTAATAGGTGATTTTCAATAGACTAGAAAATAGGCCAATCAGTGAACTGCAAAATATATACCTAAAATATACCTAAAATAAATATCATGTATGTATTTTGCAGTACACTGATTGGTGCATTTTCAGTTTTTTGGTTCACCGATCAAGTGAGAAGAAGTAACAAATAAAGAGGAAAAGAAGAATAAGAAAAAAAAATCTATATTAAATATTATATGTTTATTAGCTTTATAATATATAAATATAGATTTTTCCTGATTATTGATTGTCCTGATTTCCCTCTGTCGGTCAGTCCTCACTTGATCTGTGATTAAAAATTAACATTTAATGGCTATCACCTAACTATCAATAATCTCTTTTTTTGGGGGCGGGGGGCTCCACTGATGGGACTCCGAATCAATAATAAAAAAAAACTGTGTTCCCATTTCTGTTGTTTCATGATATATCCATATGGTTCTTCAGATTTACAGAAATCAGACGACCCTATCATCACGCAATCTTTGGACTAATTGTAATTCATTTGAAACCGAGTGCACAAGTCAAATATCTAATGTTTTATTCAATTGTGTAATTTGCACATAATGGATACAACATGTGCATAACTGGGTTTGATTTATGTGGGTAGTTTGCTATGATATCAAATATCAGCCCTGCCTATTTGCAGGTCTGACACATAAGGTGGCATAGCTGGCAACCTTAGGACTCACCAATTCTTGGGTGACCGACAGGAGTGGCGCATACAGTACACAGTGCGCCCTCTAGCCAGTCACTTAATGTAGTGTGGTTGCTCAGAACGTGGGTAGAAGGGTAAAGAGGGACAAAGGAGCTGGTGTGTGATTGACACACAGAGGGGCTGGGGGAAGAAAGACACACGCAAAAGAGCTGGAAAGAGTAAAAGAGACACAAAGGGCTGGTGAATGGAAAAGACAAACAAATGGGCTGGGAGGAAGTAAGCCACAAGAGGGATGGAAGAAACACATAGGGGAAGATGGGGGATAAGAGAAACTAAAGGGAGGGGTAAGACGCAAAAGGGCGATAAGATACTCTAAAGAGGTAATACATTCCAAAGAGGGATACAAAACAGAAAAGGCTCCCTTGAACCACTGAGGTTTGAGGCCTCCTTACCTTATATCTAATATTTTTTTGTAACACAATAACATTCAAAACAGAAGTCTCTAGCCTATTATTTTTTTATAATAGTTTTGGATTAGGCGTTTTACGGAGGGCAGGAGTTTGGTCATTGGAAGATGGTCTCATGACATGGGATAGAATTAGTGGGAGGAGGTTTGAAGAGATAGCTTTATGGTATTGTAGCACTGTAGCACACAGTTCATAAGGAATGTTACTGGTTATAGTGTTATATTATGTTGACATTTTTAAAAAACTACTGATGGACCTGTGCATCCAAACTTAATCTTTGTGAAACTACACATAATACCCAGAATGGCCAGAAATATGGTTGAATATGGGGACCTGCAGGTCCTCTTGTGTTTATTTTTTTTTGGAAAATAATTAAATATAATTCACAACAACAACAAAAAAGAAAAAAAAGGAAACTCAAAAGGGGTTAAGAATTTCAAACGGGGGTTAAGAAACACACAGGTGAAGTTGCATTTTTGGGGGGCTAGGGTCAACAAAATGCATCTTCACCTGTGTAACCAAAATCTTTGCACCGGCTCTGCCCGTTTAGATTGCAGCTTAAAATGAGCACTACACTATACAAATCAACAATAGACCATATAGAATTTGCACACTGGTGAAGGCAGTGAAGTTGAAGTAAGTTTTAGCAAATAATTTGTGAGAACCTATAAGGGTTATTAGCTAACCCAAGAATTGAAAGGAAATTGCAAATTTAGGCCGACATAGCCAAATCATGAAATCCTGCTAGTTTTGCAGATTATTTATGTTATCATTACAATTCTCAACAGATTTCCAGTTTGGGGAAACACTCATAGTCTCGGTACTTCTGCTGTGTTGGTCACTGTAGCTGCTTAATATTTAAAACTAATCTGCTGGTAGTCTTCTTTTATGCATGGATTTTAAATTTTCGAAAAGCATTTGCCAGTCTTACTTTAACAAATA